TAAAAAGGTGCCTTTGTATTTACCCCTCAGGCTGAAAACGTCCCTGTGCAGGGAGCCTGCTGGGTGGCCTCTCTGCACACCTTCCTGCCTATAAAGATACTGATCGGGACTGAACGTGTGATGACTCCCAGTCCCTATGGGCTGCCAGCAGGGTTAGCACCTGAGATCTTCCGTGCCAAAGCACAGGCTGCTTCCCTTGAACTAGAGGGGGAACGCTGTTTGGTGGTAGCAGTAGTAGGCTGTTATCCTCTGTGGATCAGCCACTAGAGGGTGACATCGGACACACGTCACATCTTGTGAAACCTTTAACCGTCAGGCAGGCTTGTCACTGTGAAGAGCAATGAGGGAAGGGCCCTGAGGGGACATGATAACGGTTTTCAAGTACATGAAAGGTTGTTACAAGGAGGAGGGAGAAGAATTGTTCTTCTTAACCTCTAAGGATAGGACAAGAAGCAATAGGCTTAAATTGCAGCAAGGGAGGTTTAGGTTGGACATTAGGAAAAATTTCCTAACTGTCAGAGTGGTTAAGCACTGGAATAAATTGCCTGGGGAGGCTGTAGAAGCTCCATAGTTGGAGATTTTTAAGAGGCAGTTAGACAAACAACAGGGATGGTCTAGATAATGCTTAGTCCTGCCATGAGTGCAGGGGACTGGACTAGATGATCTCTCGAGGTCCCTTCCAGGCCTGTGATTCTATGAGGTGTGGTGCAGGATGTCTCTAGTCAAGACCCTGCCCCTCCCTAACAAGACTCTGAGACATCTGTTCTGTAGAGGGGCCTTCCCACCCTCAAAGGGAGGGGCAGGGTTGTAGCCTTCTCTGACCCCTTTGTGAATGACTCTCGGGGTGCACTAGGTCTCTGCATTGGTATGTCCAGCAGCCCTGCTCTTTGGAGAAACCTGCCCTGGACTCCCAGGAGTGAGGGAGCCGCTCCCTGCCCTGAGCCGTAAGGCTGAGCCTGCCAGACCCCAGCAGGGGGATGGGCCCCCCAAGCCAGCTCCTGGGTTGTCTGCTGGCTGCTCGGAGACAGCGCACGGGCATGTATCCCTGGCGTTTCGTCCCAATGGGGTGGAATCGTGTGCTGTCCATGCCGCATGTGGCTCCTTGGGACTCCGCCCTCGGGGCAAGAGCACGCAAGGCAATCTGGGGCCCTAGGTGTACCTTGGCCCTGTCCCCACACAGTGGCCCCACCCCCATGCAGGAGTGATGGTAATGGGCCCCCCTCCCCGCAGCAGCCTCCCAGAATTCACCACCAGCTGGCAGGGGTGTCTTTCGAGGGGAGGGGGAAGGGGTCCCCAAGCCTCAGTCTGACCCTTCCGGGGCTACATTTCTGCTGGGCCTTGGATAGGCACCACGGCTCACTAGCAGGCGCCGTGGTGTGTTGTCAGCCCCCAGTGATGGCCCCTCTAGCCCCCAGCTGCCTGGAGAGCTTTGCTGCACGTCGCCATAGGGACCCAGCCCTACACCTTCAAATAGGGCTTCTGCCCCAGTGGCTGGGTGCTCGGTGCCTCTGAAAACTGGCCAGCTTTTCTCTAGGTGCCTACGTATGGCTTCTGGAGGCACCTGTGCTCCATGTTTGAAGAATGGCCAGGCCCAGCGTTGGGCCAGCTGCCCAGGAGGGAGCACCGTTTGGGGGTGCCCTGGCTAAGGAACTCCTCGGTGGGCTCCTCTGTCACTGAATCCTGGATGTGCCCAGCCAGGTACATGGCATTCACGGCATCCCCCGTGCTCTACATGGTGCATACTCCCAGCGCAATCACAGCAGAGCTGCTGGAGGCGTTATTACAACACTAGAGGGTCTCGCTCCCATTCTCACCATGTATCTGACACAGCCAGGATGTCTGGAGATGGTGCCTGCCCGGCTGGGAGGCTCCAGCTGCAGGCAGCTCCTGTTTCCAGTGGCTGTGTTAACAGGGTGGGTCCAGGGATTACTTCGCTGCTGCTAAACTGGCGTCTCTCTCTGTACCAGACAGAAGTGCTTCAGGAGCCACGAGGGAAAGTCCCTTCAGTTCGAGGCACTGACCGGAGACCAGGCCACGTCTGTGCACAGCCTCAGGCTTGCCCTTTCCGGCCCAGCCTGCGTGCGACAGAACCCACCAGCCTACGGCTTCAGTCAGATACCTTGCGAGCTGTCCCACCAGTCTGCGCTGGCGAGCTGGCTCTCCCCCGAGCAGGGAGCTGGGGCACTGAGTCAAGGACTGAGCGCAGGACCTGAGCCAATGGCGGGGCAGCGTGAGGAGTGGGATGAAAGCTCCACGCTGCGCTACGAGGGCAGCTCTGCACTGGGCAGTGCCCTGGGGCCAGTGATGGAACCTGACCGCGCTCAGTTCCTTCCGCATGGCAAGCTCTGCTCCTCCTGGAGGAGCAGTGTGGACGTGGATGGTTGCCTGGTTCCTGCAGACTCGCCCGTTTTGGGATCGCCCATCCTGCCAAGCCACTCAAGGGGCCCTGTGCTGGCCATGCAGCCAAGGCGCTGTAGTGGGCTGGGGTGTTGGGAGCATGCAGCCATCCTGGAGCTCATCCCCCATGACCCACATTTTGAGACCACCTTCTAGGCAGCTCCCAGTGGCAGAGCTGCCCAGTCCCCGTGCACAGGGTGGGTCGGTCCCTGTGCTGGGTGCTTGCCTGGGCTGAGCGTGGACACCAGCTATCCCAGTGCCCAGTCCCTGATGCCTCTCTCTGATGCAGCCAGCCTGCTCTGGTTTATCTCCCTGAGAAGTGAGTCCATCTGTGGGGGATCCTGGCCTGAAGAGGAGCAGGAAACCATGTGCCATGAGCCACCTAGGACAGATTCTGGGCTTGAGGGAATCACACTGCCCCTGGGGGAGAGTCCCAAGTGCGCTGGCTCCCCAAAGGGGGCTGCGCCCACCCCCAGCATCTCCCAGGAGATCCCAGAGGCTTAGATGGAGCAGGCTGTGTGCGCTCGGGGACAGCTGGCAAGGCCAGCGCTGCCTGAGGATGGTCTGGGGAAACAGGGTACAGCTGGGGCCGACGAGCCGGTCTCCTGTCCCGCGGCAGCGCTGGGGCTGCCCCTAGGACACCGTGCAAACGCGAGGAGCCTGTGGCAGACGTTGGAAGAGAGGCCACTCATTGGGATCTGGTAAGGGAGGTTCACACCTCTGCCTGGAGGAGACTGAGCTCGGGTGCCACTTGCTCTGGGGGGGGGGGAAGGGGGCTGGTTCTCAGAGTCTGTACTGGGGGGGGAGGGGGGCTGGCTTTCACCAGGCTGGAGGGTGGCAGTGTCCATGAAACACATCATGGTCACAGCTCACCCAGCCTGGTGCCCTTCCCACACTCTCCCCTGCAGCCCAGCGCTGTCTCCGTAGCTGTTCGTGGGGTCCCTGAAGCTTGGGGCAGCGGCTGGCTCGCACAGCCCACCAGGTGGTGCAGCCTGGCTGGTTTTTAATAAATATTTTTAAATGGCCAGCCCCTCGTGTCCCCCTCAAACTGTCGCCGGGGGCTTGGGGGTCAGGTGCCAACAGCACTGCCTTTAGCGTGTGCCCAGAGCAGAGTGACTCCTCAGCTGCTCCCAGCTGCTCCCCTGAGCCCAGCTCTGTTCACCTGTCAGAACCTCATGGCGGCAGCTGCCCCAGGCTTGCTCTATTGCTGAGCTCAGGTCCTGCTTGCTGCAGGATGCCTGGGCCTTAACTCCACCCTGCTCCCATCACCAGCAGAGCTGAAGGACAAACCTCCCCTCGGGCAATGCCTAAGTCCCAGCCAACTGGCCTGGACCCAGGGGAGGACTAGGTCATGCAGAGACAGGCTCTCCCCGAGCCTTCAGGCTGATGAGTTAGGCAGCCCAGGGCCTTGCTGCTAGTTGGGAGCCTTGACCTCACCCAGCCAGTGAGGACCATGTTATCTGTAGGTAGCCTGCTGTCTACGTACCAGGAGCTGCAGAGCAACAGAGCTGAGGCAGGAGTTATAAGCCAAGGACCGTTCCCCCTACAGCAGGTGCACGGGACACCTCCTGGTGTCTCTGCCCCAGAGCGTGCTTGGCTGCAGAGTCCAGCTACCCAGCAGGATGCGTTGGGAGGGAGTGGTGTGAGCACGTGCCCAGTGACCCCTGGGGGGAGAGGGAGGCATTCAACTTGTGTCATGGTGATGCTGGTTCCATGGCTGGTACCGCTGGGTTTCTTTCCCCTCCTGCTCTCTGGGGCATTGGCTGCTCTGTCCAGACCCCCCAGAGCCTTGGGCTGAGCCGCCTGTCGAGTACTAACTTAAGGAGGTGACTGAATATTTGGCTGAGGCCTTGACCCCCAGGCAGCTCACATGGGTGTCCTTGGCCAGCCCCCTCAGCACTGGGCCCCCAGAACCTCCCCTGTGCCCCACTGCTGGGCTGGAGCACCATGCCTGGGGCCCACCCTGGCCAGCCGTGAGCAGTGTGCCCGGAAATCCTGCCTCTTCTCTCTGCAGCAGCTGGGGAGGGGGATTTTTATTCCCCGCTGTTGGAACTCGAATGAAGTTTCAATCCATCTTGGCAGCGGAGCACCAGCCGCCACCCCGTGTGGAGCAGTCAGCACTGGCTCTCCAGCTCCTGCTTCCAATGGGACCTCTTCTGAAGCCACCACTTGCTAGTCACTAGTGGGCAGGGCCTGGTAACCATGGTGCCAGCACACACCATTTACCCCCATGTCTACACTAGCATTTAGAGCCAGGCTGGTCGTTCTCCAGCATGGGCTAAGCTAGGCCAGGGAAGCCTGGGCCTGGAGGTATTCTACCTCCTCCAGTTTAGCCGGGGCTGGAGTGCCCGTGGCCTTGTCTGCAGGAGGGCTCTGGTAGTCTGGCTGGCACAATTTAACCCGCCCCAGCTTCGCCCAGACAGGTCCAGCAGTGGGCGCTGTAGCTAGGGCCCAAGCTCTGACATGCCTGGGGGCTGTCCCCTTCCGCAATGGTGCTGGGGGCGTGGGAGGCTCTTGAGAAGAGAAGCCGCATTCCCTCCTCCCCCCTTGCTGGAAGCTCCATGCTGGAGATGCTGCTGCAGGACCAGGAAGGAAAACATCCCTGTGTACAAAAAATACTTCTATTGACAGCGGTGGGCGAAGCCAGAGTGTCCAGCCCTTCTTCCCCCGGCCTTGCCCCTCCCTGTCTCTCTTCATAGCAGACGCCATCATTGGGGCTGGCCCGTTACTGCTCCAGGCTCTAGCCAGCTGGCTCCAAGTCTGAGAGGAATGGTACAGCCCGAGTGGTCCCCGGTCCTGGCTGGGCAGGCGGTCTGGCAGATGGGCTGCGGCGGGGTCCCTCTGCAGTGGGGACAGTCGGAATGCATGGGCAGCCCTCTCCCAGGAGGTGGAGGGCATGCACAACTGCCCTGGTGCAGCCAGGCAGGGGCAATGGGCTGGTGGGCTGAGGAGTGCCCCCCTTGGAGGTTCTAGCCTGGCCCCTCCTGCTCCGCCCCTGGTCCCAAGCATCAGGACTCGAGGTCCCGGGAAAGCCGTGACAGCTCCTTCTGGTTGTCGATCACTTTCAGGTGCTGGAGGTAGGCCCGGGTGGAGGCAGGACTCCGCCCGCACAGGGACTGCTCAGAGCCTGCAAGGAAACAGCCCCAGATCAGAGTGGGGAATGGGGGGGATGGGACACTCTTGGCTAAAGCCCACAGGCAGCTGTTCCCTCACTGCCCTACACCTTGACACTAGCCCTAGGGCTGCAGCGTTAGCCCAGTGCGGGGTACGAGCAGCGCAGCTCATGCCTGGCTCTGTTGGGCTGTGCAAAGAGGGAATTCAAAGCCAGGTCTGGAGGCGCATTCCAACAAGTGATCAGTGGGAAAGGCAGGGGCGGTGCAGCCTCTGTACCCTCTAGGCAGGAACGCGCACAGGACTGGGAGCCGGGAGATCCTGTGTTTGATTCTCACCTGACAGACTGGTGCCAGGACAGTCCCAAGGTCCCAGGGCGAGTCAGTGGCAGAAGCAGCCCCTGACTACCTGGCCCAGCGTCCGAACCCAGCAAGGAGAGGAGCGAGTACAAGAGGGGACTGAGAGGCCTCGGGCACTACGTGCACAGGGGCTGGACCCTCAGAACAGGAGGGGAGGCAGCCTCGGGCTATGCCCCCCGAGCTGCCCTGGAGGCATCTGGCTCATGCCCACCAGGCAGGACTGGCATCCTCCTTTACTCCAACCCTTTCACCCTGGGATCTGCGAGTGAGCCAGTGTGGAGTGGGGCTGCTCCTGGGCGAGCAGAGAGGGGTCATTCCCTGAGCAGGAGGGCAGGCGCCCTGTGAGCCGGTGCTGAAGGGCGAGCTGCCAGCTGTGATTGGAGGTGCTGCTCTCCCCCTGCCCAAGGGAGCGCCGAGCATGAGTGCGATGGTGCCACAACTCAGCACAAGGGTGCCGTGCCACGGCACAGTGGCAGACACAGCTCCCGCTGGCACAGGGAAGCCAGCCTTTGACTGATGCAGCAGGAAAATCCCAGGGTCATTAGTGCAGGGACAATGGGTGGGGGTGGGGGTGGGGGACTAACGTGAATAGAGAACGGGGGGAGGGGCCCTGGCTGGAGGAGACATGGGTGGGCTGGAGAGAACGCAACCAGCCCAGCTCAGGGGCTGGCCAGGTTCCCCAGCTATGGCCAGAGGCACGAGCACCCTGGAATCTCCCCCCAACTGTTGTGGGTGGGCTGCGGGAGGGCCTCTGCTTACGCTCACTCCCTGGGCCTGACCTGCTCTCGCTAGCACAGGTGTGAGGTGGGAGCCCCACTGGGGGACAGCCAGGGGGCACGGCCTGCCCACACGAGGCCCCTGGCTTGGCTGGTGCTGGCAGAGATGCCACGGTGGGTACAGCTGGACCAGGTAGTGGAGGTGTATGACAGGCCATGAATGGGGAAGGGGCTGCACTGGCCTCGCATCTCCCCCGCCCCCCCCCACCCCCACCCCGGCCTTGTGCTCCTACTCGTCCCTCCCAGCAGGCTGCCCTCGCGAGGGGTAAGGAAGGTGGGGCTCCGTACAGGTGGAGATCCGCAGGGCCTGGGGGTCCTCCAGCAGCTGGGGGGCACGACTCCGCAGTGGGGACATGGGAGCTAGGAGGAGAGAACAGACCAGGACGTTAGGCACTCACAGCACATGCTTCCTGCCCCCATGGGCCCCCTGCACCACCCCTCCCCCAACCTCTGCCCTCCTGCCCGCATGAGTCCCCTGCTCCCCCACACACTCCTCCCCCCCAACCCCTGCCCTCCTGCCCCACTGCATTTCCTACATGTCTGTGACCCAACTGGCAGAGGGCACAGGGCTGCAGAGGGCTACAGAGCTCCCCGGTCTGATCTCTGCCTAGGGTGTCATGGGAGGCCCTACTGAAAGCCTGTGTCACATTGATCATTGCAATCAGTGCAGAAGGTATGTACAGGTCCTGACCTAGGAGCTATGCGGCGGGACGGCATATTATGCTCTTCAGGTCTGTGAGTCGGGGCTGGGCACCAGCAGATGGTACGTTTCTGCCAGGCAGGAGATGCCCGTCTG